CCATTTTATTCCAAGCTTGATGTTCCCGTCCTGTACGATGGGTGGCACGGCAAGAAAGACCTCAACCGCCTCTTTCGTAATCCCATCCTTCTCAAGGTTCGTTGCGCTCTGTCATTTTTCTATGCTAACTGCCGCCCAGATACATGCTTGTATCATTCGCGGACCCAATGGCGCCGATGGACTCTTTGATGGCAAGTCGAAGCGGCCAACAGCGAAGACCGTCGAACGCATGTACAAGATACGCTGTACAACACCTGGTGCGATCGCAAATGCTGCCTGTCTCGTCGGTTCCGCCTCTTTCTTCCCCTTTTGCCTGCACTGACCGCCTTTAGGCCATTTGGCTGCATTCGGCCGATACGCAGCTCGTCGAAGTCGGCGATGAGACCGCCATCAACTATCGCGAACGTCACATGTATTATCTGCAACGCATCCTCGACGGGTTGGCCAACGACAAGGCCTGGGCAGTATCCCTCTTCACTCACTGGGACCACATTCTGTTTCCTGACGCAGACAAACCCCACGAGAGCGTTGGATCAACAAGAAACCGGCGCCTCGAAGCAGACGAGGATGATGAGGACTTTTTCGGCTCTGCGGCGCCGGTGGAGCGTCCACCCACTCCGGTCTGAGATCTGCCTCGTTTATTTCATTTTTACTGATTCTTTTCCAGACTCGTCCTGCCACATCTCCACCTCCCACACCCCAAGATTCCACACCCCAGAACTCCTCACCAACGGCACCTGCCAATCCGCGTCGTAGCCCATCGCCCACTGTTCCGATTCTCACGCAGTCCGCATCACACCGCCGAAGTGACCGTGGGCGCGCTTCCTCCGAGTCGCCAGCACCCACACCGTCAACCAGCAATAACGCGCCTGTGCCTAACGATCGCCCGCAGCTACCCGTGCCATCCACCAGCAACCCCGCGCCTGCGCCTAACAATAACACGCCTGCGCCTACCATTCGCCCGCGGCCGCAGAGGCAGGGGAAGGCGGTGTATCGACGGTGATCAATTACAGTAATACCACATCATGTATCCAGTGCCCGAATATATTCCATTCTTATTTGTATCCCCGCTGCCGCAAATTGTGGGTTTTTTTTTTTTCTTTTTAATGGCGTGGACAGTACTAGTTACAACTGGTCTTAATCCATCTTGAGACGATAGGTGGCCGCTCAACTTCCATCGGCTCATAAGACCAGCCGTGGCTTATGGGGGCTTATGATGGCATATGTGAACTTCAACTATGTGTTGTAAGCCAGGTCAAATATTACGGCCTTACAATGGGTTGTGAGAAGATGTCAGCCGGTATATTGCATTCAGGATTTTTCCGACATACTTTTTCAGGGTTGCAAAATCCATTAAGTCTGCATCAAAGAGGCGGGGAGAAATTATGTGCAGTCATCTATGCATTGAAATAAATTGAAAGGCGGATACTAGATAGTTAAAGTAAACCCAAATATAATTAATTAAGTTATTAATCCAATGGCATACCCGCGTTGAGACCGTAAAGGACTCGCCCTGCCATGCGTAGCACTGGTCCTCAATGCCTAGTAAAACATGAGTCTTTTTGGGAGTTGAGGGCTTTAGACATGGGTAGCACATCTAGTCTCCTCAGATTCTTAATAATCTACCCAACAGGAACTGAAAGCATTGAACCCACGGAAACCGCCGGAAGCTGATGGCATCAGCTGATGTCTCCACAACCGCGTCGTAAAACTTTAGATGCATTCACAGAGCTCAAATAAAATATCATATATGCACAGAACGTATAAAGCGACTCACTAGACTCTCTGGAAGAGGTTTTAGAGCTTTAATCATCGCAAAGAGTGCACAACGGGCGTTTGTATTGAAATTTCAAACTCCGATGATTAGTAATAAGATCCTACGACTTCAACAAACGAGGTACGAGTTGGGTACGAGTTAGATCTGTTGAAGTGTCTGTCTAGGAGAGACTAGGTGCGATGGTGGGCGTCGAGGAAGATTATTTGAGGTTGACCTGTCTGCCCTTCCATCTTTGATGTGAAACTGAGTGATTACCTGGAACGTCGTCAAACTCAGGTTCAAGGAAGATTGCGGGAGTAAGCCTGTCTGGCTCTGTTTCTCTTCGTTCCCGGATTTCTCCGAATGTCCCCGCTACTCCAATGGAGAATGAAAGGCTCACAAGGTGTGGTTCTGCATGGTTGCTAGTTAAATTTCAGCGAACTTATAATAAATGTGAATAAATTGTCGCATGCAGTGGACATTACTTGATGAACTTTGTTGGAATTTCTGCCAAGTCGGTGTCCTCCTTCTTTACTGGTTATTCCTTCTCCTTCACGATTATGCGCTGTGGGCCTGGAAACATATGGGAATTCCTGGAGGACCTAAGAATATTAATGGCACAGATGTTCTTTTTCTTGTCTTCAATTTGCCAATGCAAGAAGCCTTGAGTGCTCCCACGTACCCAATTAAAATTTCCCGCCAACGATAGGAGAAATAGATGCGCACCACTTATAGGAATTAAATTGTTTGCGAGAGCGTGCTGTTTCTTTTCCAGATCCAGATGATCACGTCAAGAATTATGCGGGGTTTCAAATTCGTCCGAGAAGATGTGGTTCAAACTTTCAAGTTGGAAGCGCTGACTGATTGATCATGGGATGATTAATGAGAAAAATTTGACGAGCCGGATCTTTTCTTTTCATACTAGTGTCGGCGGAAGCAGTTCGGTACCAAGGCCGGGGGTAAAGTTCAACTGTTGTTGATTTGGAGCAAATTCTCTGCCCATCTTCAATGTCCGGAACAACTGATTGGAGATCAAATCCTCCAACGACGCTGAGGAAGGTTCTTATTTTTGGGGGGATCCGGATGAAATATATGTTCATTTTAAGATCCATTGAAAATACACCGAGGTCTCGTTGATTAATGTAAGGCCCTGTTCGGGATCCCCAGGATCTCCACAGGATCCAAATGTTGTCTGCGAAAAAATACCTGTACAGGATGTGCTCAAAACGGAAGTCACACTGGGCCTGGACCGGTCCTTCGGAGTTCCCCGAATTTCTGACACATCATATCTCCTCATCGTCACCCGCCCTTGTCCCGCTGTGTCCCGCCGCCCAACAATATTCTCCACAATATTCAGGAGCATCCGGATAAAAAAGTTGTCAAGGTAGTAAATACAATCAATATATGCTGCGTGGTAATCCGAAAAGTGCGCCCATAAAAGATACAAAAAGTGGCTAGCTCATCGCGCTCATCGCGGGGGACGATGACCTTGACATCGGGCTCGGCTAAGGGGAAGCGTTGATCGGTAGATCGGCCCGACTCTGATGCCTCTCATCATCAGTGACATTTTGTGACTCCTTACCTGTACGAAACTACAGGTAGCTAGCTGGGGATCCTGAACAGGGCCTAAGTATTTATTCCCTCATCAGTTAAGAATCCTTCCAATTCTGCCTAGGCATGGGGTTGGATATTGACAAGTGAGTGAACGCACCGAGTAGTTATGGGACGTGCAAGAAAGACGTACTAAGCCCTGGTTGATTAAGGGTAAATCACCCACCCAGTATACACAAGCAAGAAGACTTTAGTGGGAGACGGAGGTTCTAATCCTGCCGACCACATGTCTTACTGGAATCCATTTATGTTTCATCATCATATCAGCTCCAGATGAAACCATCTCAAAGTTCAGGGAAAAGACACGAAGCCCTCGTCGATTAAGAGTAAATCACTCGCTCCACTTGGGTCCTCTCTGGCTAACAACTGAATCAGTGAGAGACGGAGGTTCGAATCCTCCCGAGGGCATAAGGGGGGGGATTTATGCGTTTGATTTTATTTTAATTCACCCACCTCCGCATTTCAATGAAGGGAATTTGGCCCTCCGTTGAATTTTGAAGCGACTGGACGGATTTTTATCATTCCGCTGCGTTGTTTCACACCCCAAAGAAATACTAGTAGCAAAATGGCCCGTGTGAATCAGTTACCATTAGGAAACTCCAATGGGAGATGTGTTCTAATTTTTGGTGGGCCCGCTGGTGAAGAAGTAAGTTGCTGTCCGTATGTGGACAACGGGAAGCGCGGGTTGTGCCCGTAAGACACACAGGAGCTTAGAATAAAATGGATACCCCGCAGGACGTCGATTCGATTCTACTTTAGAGGAGTTAGTAATGTGTGAGAAATCAATACTCAGCTTAATTCTCTCAGAACTTGCTTGCTTGCTCAATCAGGCTCTAAGTTTGAGGTGGGAGAAGATAGATTCATCGGTAATAGGCCGAGCAAATATAAATACAAGACGTGGGACGACTGCTCACGTACTCGTGTGACACCGGAGCCCATGAGAATTACGAAACAAATAAATGTACGTAGAGAGACTCTGGTAATTCCGTCGGCTAAGCCACACATTCAGCATCGAACACCAGGATTTGAGCAAAGACAGATAGGGAGACTACGCTGCCACCTCATCGTTGACATTGGGTGCCCAATCCAAGTCTTTGTCAATTCCAAGCCCAGTCCGAGTGCCCAGACACATCAAATATGGCCGTCGCGTCAGGAATGATACTAAAAATGGTAAAATGTCCGAGGTAATTAATTGATCGGGGAATAGTGAAATGAGGAATGAAATGGAGAGCCCCTGGTACAACGGGCGGTAATTAGTGCCCTGACCGAGCTGCCAGAAAACGTGCGATTGAGCCGTGCATGGAAATATTGCCAAGGTTGAGGTACAGAATTAGCTTGGCAGTGCAATGCAGGAACACTTGACCGTGCAGCTGCAACCGAAATATCGAAGTCCTAGAGGCATGATTAGGGAGTATGGGTGGACAAGTCAGCGAATGCATTTTAGAAGATGGAAATAGAATTGATGTGCGCGGAGTTACCGCTTTTGGTTGACAGGTGGTACCACGCTGATGGCCGAAGGCGACGAGTACGGCGAGTCGCACTTCCACACCGGCTCATTAATTTTCTATCCCCCGCGCAAATTTGGTAACCTGGTTGACCACGAATGAATACTGGGCCACAGAAGACGGACAACGCCCTCGTTGATTAATAGTAAATCACCCTTAGAGATTTAGAAATTTGGGAAGCATAAAATTCCAGTGGGAGATGGAGGTTCGAATCCTCTCGAAGGCATGTGCCTCTTGCAGCTACCTTTTTTCCTTCCTGCACTAGTGTCGGCACCGAAGCAGTTGAAGGTGAGGGAGGTGTGGTTGATTTGTGGAGGCAATCATCTGCCCACTTCCCTATTAGCCATTGTCCTGAAATGTAGATCGACGAGATGCGGATTCAGTTTGAAATATGCTGAGCGCATGCCGAACTTGAACGTTTTTTGCAGATCCAGCTGAAGCAATATCAGGCCCATCGAAAAGCTATAAGCCCCCGTGATGGAACGGTAAATCGCCCACAGCATTTGGGATCTTCTCCAAAGACAATATGTGGGCAATGGAGCTCGAATCCTCTTGAAGGCATACTTATTAGTAAAAAGATTCGCTTGCTTTTTGCCAATCTTTTGGTGTTATATATGATATTATCATGTCCACATCCAAAACTTTCCTTCAGAACATTTTATACACGCGAAATCTACCTCTTGCGAATATTCAAAGCGCAGGCCAAAGCGATGGATAGCTTGATCGCCTGGCCCGGGTGACCGATCAACACGTGCCACACAAATTTTGCCGCCCGCCACCACCGCGCGACTGCGTTTTGTAGCTTCCTGGGAGTCGTGCGGTGCATTTACGGCCTCTCTCAGCACTGGATTCAAGTTGCATTTGGACTCGGGACCTGCTTTTCGCTTCGTCAGCGGCTTGCAGAAATTCACAAGAACTTCAGGGCCACGACATCGACTCTGACGACCTGGATACCAATCGCATGACACCACATACGCGTACTTCAGGACCTGAATTGTACTACACCGACATGAACGTGTCTGGGTTCAGGATGGCCAGGGCCAGCGTCGCAGAAGTCGACTAAATCTACGATGTTCTGCCTACTTTGAGCGTGACATCTGCGCTGCTCGCGCCGTAGACGCTTTCCCACAATCCAATGTAATTCCGTGTCTGCGAGAGCGGATACTCAAGTAAGTAGGCACAAGTCTTATCTCGTCCGCGATCATTTCTTAACCCATCGACGTGCGCAGTGTCTTAATAACCTCAGACCACCCCCGCGGAGTCTGACGCCTGTTGTTACAAATCATATTCCCACGGTGTAGTTCTACGCCGATTCCCCGACGTTCTGCCCGACTCTTTTACTAATTGCTTATTCACTTATTCTCCTGTTCTCTACACTGGTAGAACATACTAGATACATTTCTATGCAGTATATAAGCTAGCTTTTCAGTCGTACAATAATTAATTCATTCTTTATCTCTCTCTCACTGCATTCTTAACAATAACGCCCATCACGCACCGTCTAGCGTTGTCTGCCTCCTCCACCGCCACTGACAACCTGTTGCAATAACAAACGATACACGATGTCCCACCCGCAATCTGCCTCACTCTCGTCTACGTCGCATCACATTCGAGCAGCGCCGGGTGCTGCTCAAGGAGTGACTCTTACTCTTTGTTTCCTCCGCATCCGCATCAACGTCGCCCGCCTCGTCTTCATAATCTGCGTCCTCCTCGCCGTCCAGGACAGACGAGAGAGCGGAGAAGGACGCGGTGCGCGCGCCGACAGATGTAGAAACGAGAACCGAAGACCCTGCCGTCTTGTCGCTACTGCACATCCTCCCCGCGCGCTAGTACCTCCAGCCGCTCGTGCACCGCGACGGGTCTTGCGGGAGAATGGAGGGGATCGCGCTGAGAAAATCCTGCGCGTCGTCGAGGGAAATTTCGGTGGAGAAGCGGACGGAGCACGTTTCCGCGAGGTTCCGGGAGGGACACAATGCGAATAGGTGAATTCCTCCGTCTCGCGCTCTCCTTCGTCGCCCATCCATCCATCCATCTCCCCCTGCCCTCGCCCCTCACCGCCGCTGTGTTCTTCCCTACCCACCCGCATACATCCCTTCTCCCCCTTCTCCCCCTCGACATCGTCTCCATTTACTCTCTTCATGTCACAGCTGAATGCTGACCTCCGACCGATTAGCTAACGGACGCGACGATGGATTGGATCCGCACGCCCGTACACTGGCACACGACGCCTTTTTACTCCCTCATGGCCATCGGTACGCCATCGCGAATGCCCTCTCCTCTCGACTTGCCCGTACGACCCTCCGTTTCCGGTGGTGTCTTATGTACGGAATCCCCGCCGTGGGCGAGTTTCACCGACTCGGACGCGGACGAGACGACGCTGACACCGCATCTCGCCTGTCCGACGCTGCATCCAGACACCCACCCGTATAATCCTGCACACGAATGGCCTCACGTCCGACTTGGTGGACAGCGTTATCCGCGGCGTCGATGGCGGACCGCCGATGGGTGTCCTAAGGACGGAAAGCACTGTTTCCCGCGGCTTCTCCTCCTCCCTCCACGGCGCAGCGTCTCGATGCCCGCATTCTCCAGTAACACCCTTTCTGTGAAGTACCACGACGACTCCAGGCCCAGTATCCCTATCCCCCGCATCAGGAAAACCCTCCTGAGGTAATTTCCGAAAATTTTCCAAACATTTTGGCATATTTTATGAGTTATGCCGAGTTTCGCAAATTACAGCTAATAACAGTACCGAGGGCGCGGATGAAAAAATTCCCATTTTGGGATATTTTTGATCCCCACGACCGATTTGCCCATAGCTCAACGAGTACTGTGTCGATTGACATAAAAACTATATAGGAATGACCGCCTAATCCATGCGCAATTAGTGATAGAGCTAAAGTAGAAAATAAATAATATCTTCAGGTGTCTTGAGAAACTAGGACTTCGTGACATCGCATGGAGACATGGAAGATGTTGCACACTGGGTTGGGGAGGTACACAAAGAGGGTCGACGCGCCGGTGGGCGAGCGAGGAAGGGAGTACCTTGCGGCATATAGAACGAGGATGCAGGAGAGCAGGCGAGCAAGGAGCGAAGGATCTTATGGCATAGAGAACGAGGGCACGGGGGAAGTACATGCACGGAGAGAGAGCGGGGTAATGACAATGTGCGCTGTAAATTTTGAGGCTGGTGATAGATGAGTAATTTGATTCAGGCTGCCACAAAACTGAGGACACCAACCATTTGTAGGTCTTGATCATTAATTGAAGGTTTAAGGTCTTCGAGTTGGACGCTAGAAGGACATGAAGATTGCGAAGATGCTTGAGAAGGAGAACGGGACACTGGGGAACGAAGGAATGTTTGCAAGTACTTGATACACAGCTCCAGGGATGCGACCAGAAGCTAAGATGTACCAGGTGCCGGTGGTGAGGTAGCACGCAGCCAAGGACCATCTTCGTGGGCCAGCCAGCTTCCAGCTTGGAATCTTCGAGTGTGTTGGATGCTACATCATCGTGGCCGAGCATAGGCAGCGGGATGCAGAGAGTGATACCAGGCACGGGGGGAGGGAAGAGGGGAGAGCAAGGGACGAGGTCATGGTGGGAGAAAGGAAGAATGGGACGACTTTTCGCGTTGACAACGGTTGACATTTGGTTGACGTGATCGGATTTGAGCGGAGTTTGAACGACTTCGCAGCTTTTGAGAATCTCGGACTCTGCATTGCACGCGTTTGGCTATCAGATGCACTTATCACAGCACCTTTCAATTAGAAAGTTCACAGGGGAGTTCCTGCATCCTAATCTGCTGTACTCAAATTTTGTATAGGAATGTTTCAACAATGTTTGCCAAATGTCACCGAAATGTTCTCAAATGTTTGAACATTTTCCGAAATTGACCCTGGGCAAGATAATTTCCAAATATTTCGGAAATTAATTGGGGAGGGTTTTCCTGATGCGCCCCCATCCCGATTGTACTGTGCCGCGGGGTCCTGAGCACTGCGTGTCCCGTGGCTTCTCCTCCTCCCTCGACGGCACAGCGTCCCTCCATCCCACATTCTCTAGTACAAGCCGCAATGCCCCTTCTCCGAGTTCTGCGCGAAGTACAGCGCCTCCACAGGATCTGTAGTAACTCGTTCGTGATACAGCACCCTCCCAGACGACTCCGCCCACCCGAAACGGCCGGTATGCCGCATCCACCTCCGACGTATACCTCCACCCGCAGAATTACAACGTCGTGCCACCACCAACCCGTCTCGACCCCCCACCCCGGCAGCTCCCCCAGCGCAGCGGCTTCAGGACACTGTACATCTTCAAGACCCCCCCTCCCTTCGTCGCGCAACACCCTCGAGCTCGTGCGCCAGATGACAGCGCGGTGCGGCCCGGGTACATCTCGGATTACGCTCCTGCTGGGATACCTACCCACTCACTCGTCAGCGCGGTCTCGCCACTCGCGCTGGATGAAGACACTTTCCCCTTCCATCTCTGCCGTCTCCACTCAGGCATGAAGTGCTTCTCGGCCCTTTTGGCGGAGCTTCGTCCACCGGCGTGGCTCCAGGATGCTCCACGCACAGCCCTGGTGTGCCCCCTGGAGGCGGATGTGGGAGAGGCTCCTCATCCGGCCGGGCCCGAGGATGTACGAGGAGAGCGCGACGATGTGTATGGAGGGTGCGGCTAACACTCACGCGGTATGTCCGCTGGCGCCTTGCCATACCCACGGCGGCGGTCTCCGCTCACGAGGATGGTGCACGGCCGCGTCGACTTACTTCGATCGCCACTGCGGGTACGGGAACACCGTCCTTAATTCCATCGCCGTGCGGTAGCACGCCGACTTCCCTGCATCGTGTGTTGCGGGCTCCTGTGATGGATAAAGGCACATTTGAGTCAACATGTGCTCGTCTCCTCGGTAACTTTCAGTTTCACCTTTAATATTTCAACATCCCTTGTTTACTTGGTTACATATTTGACTATCCATCGTTTCATAGCTAATTCCAATTCCACATTCCCATAGCAATGAATGGTGTATATATACTGCTGGTACTAGTGCAATATACTTCACTTTACTCTCTTACCTTCACTCAGTTGCTTTGCACAACAAATCCTTGTCATCTAACTAGTCAGTAAACATCTTGAACTTGCTGCGCTAGGACAATCATCACTTCAACCAGTCAACGAACGTCTAGAACTCATTGCTCTGGGAGGAACCAACCTTCGGGATTCTACTAGCTTCATGCC